CTTCTGGTACGTATGCATATGTGTGCAGCTGTGTATTAGTGCATATGAAGGATACGTGATTACATAAAAGCATCTAATGGAGGAGCAGGAGTCGGAGAAACACAAGACTCAATCCATTTAAGGTGCGGTGAATATTTGATGCAAGATGTAGGCAAATATATAGGTTCAGTCAAATGGTGCCATTTGGTTACACACTATGAAACGCCAGATTCACTGAGGCGTCCCAATCTCAACATATAAATCTGATCCTAAAATAGATCTAAACTGATGACATTGTTGAACTACTTCAACAAACTACCAATGAGGACAATGAGAGGCTTAATTACAGGAGGAAACAAAATTTGTTTCAAAATTATTTGACTGAAATATCAGTTTTTCAGTGCATTCCTAATTTCGGTTTCAAAAATAATTTGCTGCTTATTTAGTATATGGAGTATGGCCTTAATGTTCATGTTTTAAAAACTGTTGTTCTTAGGCTATAATTGGGGCTAGAGTGGCCACCAGAAGGCTCTGGGGTCAAGGCCAGCTGGTCCCCAAGTCCCAGATTGGGTTTGGTCAGGACATCTGGGCACCTGGTTTAGAAACCGCAAAATCATGGAGTGGACTACCCCTGTGGTGACTCCAGATAAGGGACAAAAGTGATTCTATGTATACTTTATACTGAACAGGCTTAAGGACAAGTTACTAGTTTCATAGATAAAGATAAAAAAGGGGTGTCAGAAAAATCAAGATAAAGTGACAACTTATATGAACATCAACAGGCTGAAGATCCAATCAACAACTAGACTAGACAACTTCATAATGTTGTATTTGTGTTATTCTGACCTTTTATTAAGCAATAATGAAACATATTTATTTAACCTATATTCAGAGTCAACACAGACCAAACAAAGGCCCTTGATTAGAAGAGACACAAAAAGCAAACAATCCCTCCTCCCCCATTATTAAACATTCATATTCCAAATCACCTGCAACTTGGCAATGAGAAGACCTGCCACACAGAGGTCAGTAGATAATATAGGTTGGATGGGTATGTTTGAGACTGCAAATATCAGTGTGTGTGTGTGTGTGCATGCCTTGGGTTAGCAGGAGCTTCGACCTGCTTACATTATTAAGGTGAGTAGTAGACTGTGTTATGTATGCCTAAACAGCCAGTCGATTCATTGCAGATGCAATCCCCTAAGTACATGAATAAGCGCCGGGCTTTCTCTCATTCTCTGTGAACTGTAAAGGGGAGAAAATATTGGTGTGGTGCAACACACTTCAGATAAATCAGAAACAGGGGCAAATTAATAATAAGGAATAAAACAACATTAGCTGATTAAGTATGTATGGCAGAGTGGCAGCTGTAATTTACAGGCAGCTCCGCTTGGTGTCCGGAATAGGGTCTCATTACGGACCCCGGTGTGTGTTTTTTTGTCTGCGTGTGTGTCTGTGTGTGCGTGTGCCCAACTTGTTAGTAATCCATCACCAGTGGTCTTGGCTTTATGAAAAGACCTGCGATCTATGATAATAAGGCTCATGAAGGTTATGAACCAGGCTAAACTCATTTGTTAGAGGAGGAGCTACCGTTTATGTATGTGTGTGTGCAGGTGTGTGTGTGTGTTATGTGTAATAAAAACCATACCATGAAAATAGTGGTTGGGGGGAAATAATATTAAAAGAGTGGTTCCCCTAGTGGGGGCATAGATGACCGCGAGGTGTGGGGGGGTTGAAGTGAAAGTTGAATAAATGTGATTTATGTAAGGGAAATGAACAAACCTGAATTTGCTGGTGTTATTGGCCTGACCTCTACATCGCTAAAATTAAACTCAGACAATTTTTTTGCAGTATTTGTGTTCGCCTCATCATAGTTGATGATTGTGGTAAAACCGTTCTTTTATAGCAGTGGCCAAGAAGAGTAGAACACGTGTTTGAAAAGAAGTTGCAAGAGAGTGAGAAAAACATTACACGGATGTTGCATCACATCAGTTGGTTTTCTCACTTGGTTTAAAGACAAACAGAACAGACATTGCAATATGTTCTGTCCATCTGCAGGAGAGCAGGGCAAGGATGTGAAAAAACAGTCAAACAAATCGTGTCACTCAGAATCTGTTCACTAATTTACGCTGGAGGAAATCTGGAGCAGTGTAGTAGAACGACTTCTACCTTCACAGCACTGGCAGGATTAAGAGTAAAAGCCTCTCTTCCTTTGTCTCCTGCATCTAACCTCAACACTTTGTCAATCTCAGCCATCTATTTATGCAATCATTCCAGTTTTCCTTTTCTTTTGTATGGCGCTCGGTCAAGTGAGAACAACAGAGAAGCAGAAAAAGGTGTGTGCACGGGTCACCAGATCGCATCACAGTGAGGGAGGGGAGGGAAGAGCACAGGATGATGGGACTGTGTCGTCTACTGCTGTTCTATGTCACCTGCATGTTTGCTCACAAAAAGTTTAAAAAAACAGATATAAATGAACTTTCACACCTCAGTCCTTCTAAACCAGCCAGTGAAGGAATGATGTGTGATTCTGTGATTCTCTGCTGTGATTTGCCCTCTGCTGGTATTTTTTAATAACTATGATTTGGATTAAAATACGTACGAGTTGAATATAGAGCCTATAGGGGGCAGCCAGTTGTAAAAACAAAAAACAAAGAAGAATTTATGTTAGGAAGTGTGTCAACAGCAGAACTAGATTGACGAATAATTGATGTGATAAATAATTTTACAGTGGCTTTTTGGCACGCAAACAAAGTTCAAATAGTTTTATGTCTGTAGCGCGCCCTACAGGGGAGGAATAGTAAATTACATTATTGCAAAGTCATCAAGTAGAGCCAAATCCATCATAATTTAAAAATGATAATCCAGGTAACACTCATACCAAACACATTCTGCTCTTCATGTACCAAGTTACAAAATAATTACTGTACGGACTGTGCAGATGAGGGAGTCGTGGTCATCCCAGTGTTTCAGACGCACTGCTAACAGTTCCATCCTCTGGCTGATATATTAACAAAGGTTTACAAGGGCAGAGCGCTACATATGTAAGTTTGGCCTTATGGCTGACCTTACAATGCACTTAGTATCCTGCACAGGGAGTAATGCTGCAGCCACTCCTACAAGCCATTTATTCCAGCTAACGACGGTCAAGCACTCATAAATCAGCATTAGGAACCTCTTTGGTTCTCTCTCTCTCTCTCTCTCTCTCTCTCTCTCTCTCTCTCTCTCTCTCTCTCGTTTAGTTTCCCTACTCTTTAGCTCCCTCTTTATTTACTGATATTTTCTGTTGCTTTTTCCTCATGCCATCTTTTTTCATCACTCTTGCCAATTATTATATTTATTTCTTGAATTTTACAGTTCGCACAATCTATGTAACACACTGTTTCTATCCATATTGCTCTCATTTCTTTTTCGTGAATCTCATTCTCCTTTTTTAATTTGTTTTTTTTTCTTTTTCTTGTTAATTTCTTCCTCCCCTTAAATCCTTGATGTCATTTATGAATCTTCCAACCAAGCCTACCATCCATCCTCTCCGACCAAGCGGAGAATTTCCTTCCCTGCAAATAGAGACGGTGTCCCTGAGATGTCTAACCTGGTATTGGCACCTCTATTGATTTTAATTAAGCTAATTAGTTCATTATTCCAAGGATCAAATGGGGGCATCCATTACCACATGGAGAAAGTAGGTAGTGTGCGGGGCAGCAAAGTTAATATGGTAATGAAGGCGATCAATTATCACTCACAGCAAAGTCATTAACAACAGCATTAGCATAGTCAACCATCACAACCCTCTGACCTCCCTGCCCTCGCACTCTCACACTCTTGCTCCCCCTGCAAGCGAATGCTGCCCAAGCAAATTTATGTGGGAGAGAGAGAGAAAGAGAGAGAGTGAATGACAAAGGTCAAAGTTCAGAGATGGCTGTTAATGCAGCTCCAAATGGAGTTTACATATTTGTCCTGTTGACTTGGGCTTAGCAGTCACTACAGTGGGTCAGCCTGGTCTGCAGCAGCTGCATTTATAATATTCAAATCATGCACTTGTATATGGGCCAGCCGGACCAGTTATGTTCTCGATCAGTGACACCAAGAAATATCTCTATCAATAATGCCATTAAAATTAATCTCCTTGAACTGCTGGGAAATGGATAAGCATATATTTGTGTCACTGCTGCCGCAAGGAAACAAATTAAAGCTGCTCTTAATGCCTCTGGTGAGTCAAAAAGGGAAGAAAAAAAATGCCACTCTGCTCATCTGAGAGCTTCAGCAAGAGAGAGCTTCAACGTATGGACTTCCTCTTTTTATGTACTGTTTTACTGAACTACAGTCAGGGATGGAAAATGAGCCCGGAGAGTGCTACTACAGAGGGTGCTCCACATGACAGGAAAAAATTATGCTCTCATTAGCATGAATTAAGTCATGAGACCAATTTTCTCATTTGGTTCCAGTGCCTTCAGACTTTAATGGCCCCTGTACTGTGGTTTATGTGGAATGTCATAAATAGTCACTTTGTGAATCACACAAAGAATGGAGACTTTCATCACAGCTGGAGTCGTTCTCAGCATTCAGCCAGCCAACACAGTTGACACTTGTTATAACGTGTTTTCTTCTCCACTCCCAGATATGAAATTAGACATAAGAAATTGTGTCCTATTAGTTACCCTGTCTTTATGAAGCTGTAAACATAACAAGCATGTGGTGAGGTACAAATGGAATAAATTTACTTTTAGCCCTAGGATAACAACATGCAACACATCTATGTGCAAACTCAGTTGGTAAGTTCTCTATGGTATTTCAGCTGTGAAAAATAACAACTTTAATGATAAAAGCATCTGGAGGTGATAAAAATAAAATCCATGCTGACACAGAGGGGTCATCTTTAGATCTTGTCCTTTAAACAAAGGCCAAGGGTCAAAGCTGAGTTTTAGAAATTACCAAAAAAAAACTATAGACCATAATTTACTTTACTTACTAAAAATAATTGTTTTTGCACAGAAATACAATAAAATAGGAAGAGGACTTACATCAAGGTTGCGTTTAGGGCCCATTTGGTTGAGTTTTGTGTTGGAATTGACATCTGACAGCAAATGTCTACGTTGATGCCGTAGCTCTGACGTCGTCTTCTGCTGACTCAGGTCCTGTAATGTTAAGAATGGAATTATTAGAGAGCTGGAACTGATAATAGCAGGGGGAAAAATAGTCAAAAGCAGAGAAAAAGTGAAACAATTTTCCATTGTTCCATTTGTGAAACATGTTTTTTCAATCTATTAGATAAAAAATCTATTAAAACTACATTGTCTGATTAATCACAACCTTTGCTGGAAGCAAAACAGTGCAGTGAAATAAGATGACAATTCTTAACTGTGTCTCTTCACATTTCCCTAATTGCAGTCTTAGACCGCATGCTTTATCCATCCTTCAGCTATCATTGAAACTAAAAACTGGCAACCATCTGGACAATAAAAGAAAGATACTGAACCGCCGCCAGCTCTGAGAGTTGCTCTATGGCTGCCCTTGAGCCTTTGACCTGCCTGAAATAAAGTGAGAAGAAAAAACTTTTCTACGGGGATCAATAAAAGGCCGGTTTTACTGCATTATATGATTACTAATCCTTAAGCTGCCAAAGCTGCCAAAACCACTGTCCAATGAGAATATCACCCAGGAGATTGAAGGAAATGACTAAATGGAAAGTTTCCCCAAATACTCCTCAGGACTAATATAAATGCTTTTTTTATTATTATTATTGAAACGGAAAGACACAAAGGAAGTTCAACATTTTCTGTAACTTTTCTTCCATACGGAGACAAAGCTTACAACAGAACCACATCCACACCACCAGATATACATTTTCACCTCAGCCTTTCAGCTCAGCTCCCTCTGGACACACTGCTACATTTACATATATCAAAATCAATAAAATGAATAAAATAAAACTGAAGGTCTTGGTCATATGTTATATCCAAGTTCAACCTGGAGTGGAGAGTTTTATAATCAGCCACATACAAAGTACTGTATGTGGCTGATGTACCGTAGTTGGCCCCATGATTTAAAATTAACTACAGGTGAAAACCTATGTTCATCCTTTTTCACAAAGTACTGCTCAGTGACACGACGTCTGCCTGTGGATGACAAATAAACAACAGGCTAATTGCTGCAGTCCAGAGAGGAGAAAAAAGCCTTGGATTTCATGACATTACGACCACAAAACTAACTCTGTTTAGTGTCCATTACCGTTCATCCCTATTGCGCATCAAAAAGGCCATACACTACGATTCAATCAGACGTTCGCCAAGCTCCCATTACAGAGCTCGCTGCATCGTTTACATGGTGGAACGGCCCATAAGTAGCTCTAAATGCTCTTCATTTGATTGGATTTCACATTAGAGACATCAGAGCAGAAAACACACTGTTGTTCCCCCGACTGCACTAATAGACTGTTGAGTGAGGCAGTCCATTTGTTTGTATTTGTTTACCAATCTAGGCCCCCAGAAAACACACAAACGAACACAGACGGACGCTGAGAGCGTCATTCAAGAAGGGTGAAAATGGAGTTTCAAAATGCCAAGAGGACAGTTCAATAGCAGGGCAGCAAACTAAGTGTCTTCACGCTGTTTGTCTTCGGCTGCAGAGAGAGGCCTCTGTCCCAGACTCTCAGCTGTACAGAGTTCCCTTTACCTATTTTCCATAAATTGTAATTGTTTTAATTGGCAAATTGGTAGAATGGAAAAAGGAATTGTTACAGAGTCAACAACTGCATTACTTACAATGCATCTGAACACTAACAAAACACACAACACATTATATAATATATAAATTATACTTTTTATATTAGAGATATTTGTTGCTAAAGCGATGGCATTTTCCATTAAATTTAATTGGTAGCAGTTTTGAAAAAAAAAATGAACATGCTTTGAATGTATATGTTATATCCAAGTTCAACCTGGAGTGGAGAGTTTTATAATCAGCCACATACAAAGTACTGTATGTGGCTGATGTACCGTAGTTGGCCCCATGATTTAAAATTAACTACAGGTGAAAACCTATGTTCATCCTTTTTCACAAAGTACTGCTCAGTGACACGACGTCTGCCTGTGGATGACAAATAAACAACAGGCTAATTGCTGCAGTCCAGAGAGGAGAAAAAAGCCTTGGATTTCATGACATTACGACCACAAAACTAACTCTGTTTAGTGTCCATTACCGTTCATCCCTATTGCGCATCAAAAAGGCCATACACTACGATTCAATCAGACGTTCGCCAAGCTCCCATTACAGAGCTCGCTGCATCGTTTACATGGTGGAACGGCCCATAAGTAGCTCTAAATGCTCTTCATTTGATTGGATTTCACATTAGAGACATCAGAGCAGAAAACACACTGTTGTTCCCCCGACTGCACTAATAGACTGTTGAGTGAGGCAGTCCATTTGTTTGTATTTGTTTACCAATCTAGGCCCCCAGAAAACACACAAACGAACACAGACGGACGCTGAGAGCGTCATTCAAGAAGGGTGAAAATGGAGTTTCAAAATGCCAAGAGGACAGTTCAATAGCAGGGCAGCAAACTAAGTGTCTTCACGCTGTTTGTCTTCGGCTGCAGAGAGAGGCCTCTGTCCCAGACTCTCAGCTGTACAGAGTTCCCTTTACCTATTTTCCATAAATTGTAATTGTTTTAATTGGCAAATTGGTAGAATGGAAAAAGGAATTGTTACAGAGTCAACAACTGCATTACTTACAATGCATCTGAACACTAACAAAACACACAACACATTATATAATATATAAATTATACTTTTTATATTAGAGATATTTGTTGCTAAAGCGATGGCATTTTCCATTAAATTTAATTGGTAGCAGTTTTGAAAAAAAAAAATGAACATGCTTTGAATGTTGAAGGTTTAGGCACGTACTGTATGCATAGAATAGCAGTGACCTTTGTGACCAGTGCAGAGAGCACACAAAGCCAGTTTGCTGACCTTCTCCATAATAGAAGATAAGTACTTTGGTGTATAATAATCTTCTGTGTGCAAGAAAAAAAATCTAATCTGCAAAAATTCAAATCCTAACCTAGTTTTACAATCTTGTATAGGGAAAAAAAAAATCATCGTACACATTGACATTTCTTTCTTAAATGTAAACATACTTTTTCACACACAATTTTTGCTACAGGCTTCAAAATGCTGCATCATACTTCAATTAGTTAAATGTAAACTTGTTTTTTTGGGGTGGTAATAAACCTTTCTCACGTAGAGAGGCCATAAACTTACTCACTAACTTACTAAAAATCAAAAACCTTTCCATAAATGAGAAAAAAAAACATCTTTATCCGAATAACACCATTTATTACAAAAATTAAAATAAAGATTTTTGGGTCAACCAGTTTATAAAGGAACATTTGTTTCAAACCTAATTGTGTTGTTCCTAGACTAACTACCTCGTTAACGCAAAATGCCATTTAAACACATATAAAAACCTTACATTCAGTATAATGAGCTGTGTGGCTTTATTACCAATTTGGAAAGTTGGTCAGTTTCCATCTGCAGCTCCTCAACCGTCTGCAGCAGCATTTGGTTCTGGTCTGTGAGGTCATTCACGTACGACTGCAGGAAATCCTCTTTCTTCTGAAAGAATAACAGCACAGCAGGATTGTAGGGCAGGTTATTTGGTGGTTTCTTTTTAACAAGCTGAAGGCAGAACCACGCAGGGTTTTCTTCTTTTTTTTTACTCTCTAAAACAAATTGTATTTTGTTGAGCTGGACAAATCAATGGCAAACAAAATGTGAGGTTCAGAAGGAGAGAGAAGTACAGACACAGGCCACAGTGAAATGTATGGGCTAATGAGTGATTGAACAAAACTGTCTATCTGTTCTGAAAGCAGTTCAGACAAAAACACTATTTCCATATTTAAATGAATATAGGAACAGTGTTAGATACTATAGAAGTTACAGTCCAACAACTTACTTTTCATGGCACCTTATAGTGTTTTTGTAACAACCAACCAATCAAACATGTCACTATGTCAAACTCCAAAGACAGTTTTAATATATCTGGAAATTAATAAAATGTAGTAAAGTAAAGTAAAATATAAAAAAACACTGTATCTAATGACACCTGAGCTTTAGGTGGCGTTTTTTTTAAATAAACATTCTAAAATCAGAGTGTTCAATTTACGTAATTCTAGATGCACATTTTTTTTGAAAGAAGTACTAGGACAAATGGAGCATTCTGAAAGGCTCTGAAAGTATAGGTCTTTCATGTAGGCCATAGTGGGGTGTACTGAAATGGTTTCATAACATATGATTGTTTTACTTTAGAAACCAACTGGTCCCAACTGACAAGGAGGGCAGGAACGCTTGGCTTTTTCATAGCAACCCACCCAGGTTTAACAATAGCTGACCTGTGAACTGCATTGTTTCAGAGGAAAAAAACTCAGTGAGCAGCTTAGAGTAGGTAGTTTGTCAGGTGATAGGGCAGACAAAGAGATGCTATTCCCTTTTGTTGCCTTGTGCCCAGAAGAAAGCATTTGTTAGATCAACCGTTGTAGGTCAACTAAACAAATTCAGCCTCTGAAAAAGTCTCTGAGGTCTTGAGTGCAGTTTTTCCAACTCTTTTATTGTATCATATCCTTTCCAGGTATGATGTATGGAAAGAGGGTCTGGAAGAGGAGAGGACTGCACTGGAGACAAAATAATTCAATCAGTAAAAGTGAAGAACCTAGTGTGTGAAGAAGACTAAGATGAAGATGATTTAATTTGACCTACATGCTTAATTAAAACTTTTCACTCATCTCACAAGATCCCCAACCTTTTCCTCACCTCAAAATTCCTCTTAACAAACCAAAGAAAAGACACTAATCACAACCAATTTCAAATATATCACTTACATTCAATTTCCCCACTGTGGTGGAAATAAATAAACTACTGAACTTAATTTACCTTGCTGCACCCCCTTTTGCTATGGCTATGTGTCCCCCTAGGAGGGGCCCACACCCCACTTTGGGAACCACTTTCCCCAATTGCTTTTCTCCTGCTTAATTAAACTGGCTGTAAACATAAATTGTTGAAGGAGCCCAGAATATGCCTGCATATTTCTTAGTTTCTGCCAAGAAGCAGCGGGTCTGTTGGAAAATAAGATCAGAAATATAGGCTGCAGTTGTTTAACATAAGAACCATAGGTCATCATAAATTAAATAAGGAACAACATGTTGTCCATAGTCCTGCTCACTTCTGGGCAAAAATTCAATTTTTAAAAAGAGGCATTGAAAAGGTCAACTTTACAACTTCAAAAACCTCAGATTAAGGTGTCATGTCATTGCATTAAAAAAATGAAGAGTCAGGATTAACAGGATTCTGGTGTGAATAATGTTTTTTCAGGCGACAAAGTAAAACTGCAGCCGGACAAACATTGAAAGTCAGTATCTTTTTTCACTGTTTGTTCTAGTTTTAAAACATCTATTGGTGATGATGGATGGATCCCCAATCCCGTTTCAATGGACCGGCTCTCTGATTAACTGTGCACATCAACCTTTCGGACTTTGGAGCTCCTGGGTTCTGAACATATAACCTTGTTAAGCGGGCCTTCAACTGAGGCCAGCTAACCGAAAGCCATCTCTGAAACCTTATTACCTTTGCTTTGATGCGGAGCTTAGCTCACACAAGTTACATTGTGAACCTAAATGATGTCACATGACAGGCCCGATGATTAGAAACCTCTCTTTTGTAAGTATGAGGCAGGATTTGTGTTCCTGATCTTTGCTGCTCAGATGGAAACATAATGCAATTTGCCACCTGTTACAAGTGCTGCGGCTTTATGAAAGCACCCCTGTGCTTCCTACTGTCATTTGTCTGACAAGACAGAGGTCATCGTCTGATGCTCGAGTCACGGTGAACAGGATGTTCTTTGATTTGTATCAGATGGATGATAACCTAATGACACAAGACAAGACATCCTGAAAAGTCTTTAAGTCTGGGTCCAT